ATTTAGAAAATATTCTGATTGTAAGCGTAGGATAGCTTTCTGGTTTGGATGTTCAAATAGACACACTTAAAACATTTCTGGCCTTAGAATTTATGATTTGAATATGCTTCTTAGCCTAAGAAAGTGGACTTTACCATTAATGTGATGGAATTAGGACCTTTGAACATTTCCTGCCCTGATTTTCTCTTTATGCTGACTTGTTAAAATTTTCTTTGTTCCTTTAAGTTCTCCTTCTGCTCAAAATTAGAAAGTACAGAAGTGGAAAGCAACTTTGGTAGATTCCAGTTAATTTACTAGTTTCTTAAATGAACTGAAGGCAGGCAGATAAGTACATCCTAATAAGCATAGATTGTTCCTAATAGCAAAAGGTTGATAATATTCCACAGGGGAGGCAACAAGACATATATGTTTCCTTTCTGTGGAACAGAAGTAATCTTCTGTCCTTACTTGCTTTGTCCTGAAACTTACAGTACCTCCATTCAGCCAAAATTGGCTGTGCTACTTTCTCAACCTTAGATCTGGATTTTAACATCTACAAAGGCTGGTTAGCAGAGATTGGCTTCAGTTTAGGGCCATCTCTAAAGAAATTATATATACACACACAAATTACATAAAATTATTGTCTTTGCTGAGCTAGGATCGCACTGTTTTCTAATAGCGTATAATCTTTTAGTATACTTGGTTGGGGTAAATTAAGTCTTTTGCGGGGGTGATATGTCGTTAAAAGCAGTTAAGTGGATAGAAGAGTTTTAAATAATGGATGCTGTTTGTACAATATTAAATTCTGGCACTAACCCTCCTTTACCTGTTCTTATACTGTGATTGGTTGCCAGGCAAAGGCTTATGTTATGGAACAAAGTCTGCACTCATTGTGTTGTCCTAGTTATTCCATGACCACCTGGAAATAAACTTGACAGAAGGCTAATGGCCTTTAATTGTGATAATTCTGTCATCTTACACATTTCCTCTGATCTGATAAACTGGTCTGATAAGGAAACTGATGAGTTAATCAATATAGAATTTTATGAATTATATTGCAGTTAAAATGGCTGTTACTTTTTTAGGAGAATTAGAAAGTGTTCGTTGTGCAGGAAATAACTGTACTGCCACCTATAAAACTGCACTGCTAAAGGATTAATCTGTTGAATGAATAAGGGAAAGCTTGCACCTTAACTATATGTCGTTAAATATTTGTCTGCTTCAGTGGGCTACAGAACATTCTGGAGCTTTCTTAAATTGTTTAACAGCATTGTAGGCTGCTAAACAGCTATGTTGAAAGCAATATATGGCTATATTTCAGTAATACAAATGGGGCTCTCTATACTTTTATGAGTCTTTATTTCATCCGTGGAATTTAGAATGGGCCAAACAATCTGAATTCAAGTCGTTCAAAATTCAGAGAGGTTTCAGTTTCAATTTTGTCCTCAGCACCACTTCCAAAGAATGCATATTTATGCCTGTCCCAAAGTCCTTTAAATGTAGTTCTCTCTAATAACGTCCTTTTTTTCCCATGTGAATTTGGAGGTGATAGTAACCTAAATTGCACCTACCACAGTACATGTTTTCTGTTACTAGGTAAGGAATAGAAAGATATTTATCCACTGCAGTACATTAATAACTAACAGATTTTCAGTTATACAGTGTTAAGGCCATTAGAGAACACATCAGAGGAATGAAGACCAGTCTAGATCAGACTGTGAATAAAGGCTTTAAAGAAATCATATTCTCGCAGCAGTGCCTGAGTGTAAGTATGGAGGTGTATAAGCACCTGATAGAGTTGTGATTTAGCAAAAGTATAAAACAGCTTCAGACTTAAATTAGGGAAGTAAGACTGCTATCACAAAGAAATAAAAAAGTCATCTTTTCTCATATCAGGTATTGGTATGATTTGTGTCTAAATCAGTGTTGCTGCCCATACGATAAGAAGAATGTGGAGCAAGGAGAGGATTTTTCAAAGGAGGACCACATAAAAGACCCGTGGGATAGGAAGGAAGGCTTAAAGCTTAGTTTATTAATTTAGAGGAAGTTAGAAAAACTTGCTTAGATGCTTAAATGAAGTGAAATTACTGGGAGTGGACTTTGGTTTCCAAAACTGCAACAAGTCCTGTGGTAAGAAACTAAAATTAGACAGATTAAACCTTGAAATAAAGCAAGTCATGCTTACTGTGAGGGAAGGGGTGTATTGGAACATATTACCAGTGAAGGTGGGGGATTCTTCATCGTTTGGACTCTTACGTATTAGCGTGTGCTAATTCACTGAAGGGGGTGAAGTTATGCAGCCTGATCAGGTAGAAGTTCGGGCTAATTTCAAGCACTCTTGCCTTGAAATTTGTGACTGAATCATCCTGCTACTTTATTTGGGATCTTGAATAAAACAGGAGGCTTCAAATTAACCTCAACATTTTTCTAAAACTTGCATTTTTCAAGTAAAATAGTGCTTGCAGGTGATTATTAAGCTCCTGGAGTTGTTTAGCACCTTGCCTTCAGGGGCTCGGGAGAGAACTCTTGCCTCCCATGCACAACAGTTTAATGGGTCCTGGGATTTTGGTGCTTTGAGTACTGGTGACTGATGATATAGAATAGATTTCATTGCTTTGTCATGATATAGGATGACAAGAGATTTAACAAGGAATTAGGGTATTGGAATAGGACTGAGGAATTGTGTATAAATTAAGATGATTTTGTTACCCTGGCCGTGCAGATGTTATCTACAGTAATACAGTACTTCTATGATAATTCTTAAAGTATGGGATGGTTCTGTGGGTATATGTATTGTACCATTGCATTCTGGACCAGTTACTGGTGCTGTCTTAGTATGCTCAAGAATCCATGAATGAATAGCTCTCCGAAATGTGTGTCAGAGCTGTGACTATAAATTGTAATTTGAAATGTATTTTTAAAAAAAAGTATCAAATCAGGTATCAGATCAAGGCTGATAGCAGTATTAACACAAAACTCTGAAAACACTGTTGTCATATCTTTGCTTTAATAAAGTGTCTGGTGATGAATTTTGCTCAGGTTTGAAAGCTTTACAGAAATCATACTTGCCAATTTTAGATTTTGCTCCAGGGAGATGAATACTTTCTCCGTTACTTTTTTAAAGCAGGTATCAGACACACACACCCCGCCCCTTGAAGTCCCAATATAGGAGTAAACATATTACTTAGTGAAGACCACCACCTACTTCAACATAACTGGGGGGTGGTGGAAGGGGAAGCAAAGATTTAAGCAAATGAAAAAAATCAGTGCACATGCTATAAGCATGTAATTTTGGAAATAGACCTTCTTTTCTTCATTAGTGCTGTTTCATTTTCTCTTTGATTTGCTTAGTTCCTGACTGTGTTACGATAATTCTGTTAGAAAGGGCAGTAATTATGGTCAGTGGTTAGTAATCTTAAGGGTGTTCACATAAATGACTGTAGTTTTCTTCAGAATTCTGACCTTATCTGCAGGGGAGAATTGACCAGCACTGGTAGAATTTAAATTGGTTTAGTTCAACTTGATTAAATTGCAGGGTGGACGCTGTTACTCAGAATGCACAATCTTAATTTGGTTTCCCTTCATTTGTTTGCATTAAACCAATTCAGGCTACATATTCTGAATGAACACCCTTTTACAGGGATGTAATCCACTCTAATTTGGGATAAATTTAGATCTTCAACTAATCCAGATTAATTTTGCTCCATAGGGGTCTGTTTTGTTTGGAATTGGTTTAAATGTCAGGATTTACAATTGAAGCAAGAAAGGCATAAATGAAATACTAAAAATAAATAGGAGAGAATATGAAAAAAACCCCTACAGTTACTGTCATGTCAAACAAATGTCTATCTTAAAAGCCAGGTCGTTTAAGCAGCAGGTTGTTTTATAAAAAACATAATTTTGCCTCAATAGTAAACTTGGTATTTATGCACATGGAAGGGCATACTGTTAATTTAAATCAGAATGGTTGTACCAATTTTGCGTACCATTTGTGTGTTGATTCAGGGAGAAAAGAACTCTTCGCTTTTAGTTTATGCTGTTTGGGAAGTGATAGAAATAAACCCAAAGCAAATACACTTTTGAAGAATCTTATCATTGGATCAGAGAGTTTGTACGAAGTGTTACACTTGTATAATTATACCAGTCTAAAAAATAAGCACAATTCTAGAAAAGCTTCAAACAATTGAAATAAGTTTTTAATTGGTTGTAGTGGTTGCTGATGGGAGCCTTTATGGATGGATTACTCTGCAAAAGACACATTTTTATATTGATATGTAAAATTTCATTTAGAGATGATTGCCTAAAGCCAGAAAATGAAAAAATTAAACTGATAGAATTACCTAAGACAAGTTTTTTTCCCTTTAGCTACTTGTACCGTGACATAAACCCACAAAATTGTACTGTAGCCATATTTAATCATAAGTAATCCTAGCTATGTGAAACACATTGTAACATGTGGAATACTCTGTATGCAGTGCAATAAATTAAATTACAATTCCAGTTTAAGTATCTTTTTAATTTTGGAATTTTTTGAGTAATATTACTTTAAACTTACATATTACTATTAATTACTTAACCAATTATTTAATAAATCACTAATTAGATTTTTAAAGTTACTAAAATTACACTTAAATGTAATTATGATTTGCAACAATTTGAAACTACCTGCAGAATATAATTCTGAAAATCTTTATGTTCATTAGTACTATTTTGAGATTGGGCTGGGAGGTTTGAGAGATAGCAGGTTAAAAAAATAAGGAAGAATATGCTTGAATTTCTTTCTGTACTGGAAGTTGTTCAGCTGGAGTTCCAACATAAGTCCCTATGGGATATAAAAACTAGTTAAGGTGCTAGGTGAGAAACAACTTTTTCTGTATTTTGTCTTATTCTTTTAATCATTGAGATCCCATGTTCTGCTCTGTTTCTGCAGTCACTGGTTAAATGGAAGCCACTCCTGGGATCTGGATGGTTTCTACTGACATAGACTTTGCATAGCAGCTCCATTGCATCAGGAGGTTGCAATGAGTGGAGGAGGGGAGCAGCCTGACATCCTCAGTGTGGGAATCTTGGTCAAAGAAAGATGGAAGGTGGTGAGTATGCCTTCCTGCAATTCTTTGTCTTCTTTAAAATATGTTTTTAAGAAGTAGTTTGCGCTTTGAAATCTGTTTCCAAGGTCTTGTGAGATGTATTTTGCTTAATACTTACGTTAAATGGTGAAAGGACTTGAAAACCACTACTTTTCTTATCCTACTTTAAAATGAAGTTATACACATTTAAGGTGGGTTTTTGGTTTTTTTTTTTTTTTGGTAAGGATCTAGGAAAGCATTTAAGTCCTGACTTAGTGCCTGTTCAGAGCACAACTGGAAGAGTCCTGTTAGTATATTGAATCCAATCAGCCAGTGATTATGTCAGTCCATTTTGGATAATCAGTCAGGCACGCTCTTGAAGCTAGTCAGATTGTGAGATTTGTTACTTCTTATAGGAAGGTCTTTCAGGACCTTGCTGCTCTTCCAATTAGAAATTATTTTTGTTTGTTATATTTTGTAGCATAGATTTATTCATGGCTGATTTATATCCATTTGATTGTGTGCCAGTATAGGCTTTACCATAAATAACTCTGTTCCCTTTTGGTGTTCATATCCTTGATTTACATGTAGAGGGGAAATAGTATCCATTTGAAACTATTTTTGCTGAGAAAACTAGACTGAGTTCTCATAATTCCTTCTCCATTCCCCGGTCACTTCAGAAATTTTTTGCTTGTGGATTTTTTTTGATATTTAAAAAAAAAAAAAGAAAAAAAAGAAAAAAAAGCCACTTCATAATAGAACATTTTGGGCATGTCTGTGTGTTTTAGTAGTCTGTGAATGGATACTGAATGGCTATTTTTTTGCACCATCTTTGTTTTATATTACTCTCATATTTCAATATTTTATTTAGAACTGCGAGACTGAACATAGAAGATATAGATTCATCATTCGTTTCAAATTCATATAGAGAAAATACTTTCAACTATCTTGTGCCCTATCCTTCATTTAAAAATGCAGGAAGCTGATACTAGCTTTGTGTAGGAAACTTTTATATTTCCTTTTGTGTAAATAGAACCTGAACAGCTATCTTTGGAGTGTAAGTATTTGTAAAATACCTTCTTATATTGCATCTCAATACTGCAATGAAGTAAAAACCGAAAGCATAGTCTTGAATCAGATCAAATAGAATAAAACAGCATTATAAATAGATAACAGTATATTAATGCATCACTATCCACAAAACTACTCGGTTGTCTGGTATGTGCAACAGTAGTCCTGTTTTCTTCAAGATTATTTTCTTTCCTATGTAATGAAGAACGATGATCAGATCCGTGTCTTTTGGAAAATTTTGAGAGTAGGCTGTTGTTCATGTCATGTGATTATATATTTTAATTTGTATGTTTTCCAAATCAAGTATTACAGGTAGATGAGTGCCAAATATTGTCTGTGGGTAACTCTTCAATTTCTTAATTTCTGTAGCAAATATTAAGGATTTCTCAATGGCATCTAAGGTGATATACTACTATCTGAATTCAGGATTTCATAGGACAGTCTGCCAGTGGAAGAAAATAGCAAATTTTAGAAATTCCTTAGTGCTTGACGCATATATCTTAACATAATTAATGCTGTTCTGTTAGGTTATGAAGTACTGAAGTTTTTTGCTAGTGTTCTTGAAGCAGCAGAGTACTTAAAAATTCCTTGTATAGAAAGATGAGGTGGTATAAACCAGTAGACTTCCAAGTTTTGGTGACAATGAGTACAGTCCCTAACTGCCAGTAGTACTTCTGATTGTTCTTGTGGAACTCACCCAATATCCTGCCATTGAAGAATGGCAGCTCTGTAGTATGTTTGCATGAGATTATTTTGTTGTAACCGGTTTAAGAAAAAAAAAATACACATTCTGGAAGTTATGTAAAGATTTGCAGCTGAAATGCAGTTCTTAAAATCTTTGCTGTTCAGGACCTTGGTCTTTGTAATTGTGAAAACATACCTGGAATTTGTGGACACAAACATTTTAAAAAATTATGCTCAATTAAATTTAATTTTAACCTAGATGTTCTTTAGGGTGATTCTATTTTGGAAAGTAAGCATAGAAAAGACATGATAAAATATTTTTTCCTCAGTGACACCCTCCCTCTCTACTGGTCTCTGTATTTATTAGCATTTGCTTTTATCCTCTGTTGATGCCTTTTCTCACCCTTCTTTTTTGTCTTTGAAACATTTATTACAATCCTGACTTGGAGAGACTTTATTGTAATGATAATTGCTTTTAGGTACGTTTAAGAACGTCATTCAATGTGCAGTGTAAGTGAAAGTACCAAGATAAAACATGTTGGAAATTGAAGCATACAGAGATAGGAGTGGAAGAGAGAATGGAGAGAACAAGTTTGGGGTGTGAGATGCTGAATTCAAAGAAGAGAAGCTTGAAACTGATGTACAAAATGGGATAATGTGGTGCAGGTGTAAATGAGGGCAACATGGTCCTTGTCAAGGAAAACGATGTTGAGCAGATGTGGCAGGAGGCCAGTGTGATTGAACAGTCAGCTCCTGTCTGAACTCAAAAGCAAAACACAGTCGAAGAGAAGGTGGAAACAGGAATGGGCTGCCCAAGATTAATGTGGAGATACTGCCTCTGTGTGTTGGGATGAATATGTAGGAAAGCCAGAGCTCAGCTGGCATTTGAAACTGGTGAGGGATGTGAAAAGCAACGAGAAAGGGTTCTACAGGGACATTGGCAGCAAAAAGAAAACCGAAGGAAAATGTGGGCTCACATGTAGTGCGTGACCCAGTGACAAAGCGTGTGGAAAATATTTTTTCTACAATCAAAGAGAGGTTCATTTGTGCCTGGAATTATTGACCGACATCATTATTGGATGTATGTTAATGATTCTGGCGTACTATATCTGAGGGTAGAAATGGATCTGTTTATTTTATTAGTGTGGTGTGGGTTTTTTGGTTTTTTGTTTGTTTGGATTTAAAATTTTTTTAAGAACATGAGCAGAAAAAAAACACCTTTCAAAGGCAGTCTTTCTCAGTCTGGCCTGTTCTCAGACTGGTAAATGAAGTTATATGATAAACCGCTTTAAGTTTGTATAGGGCTGAGGATGGCTCTATCACCTCTTTCCTTTTCCCCTCTCATCTTTTTCACCATGTGTTCTCACTGTCTCTGTTGTGCTTGTATTGTGCTGAAAATTTACATGCTCATGCTGAAAACTACAGTCAGATCAATGTTTATGTTTCACTGTTGGGAGCCATGTCAATAGCTCAGAGCTCAGGCAAGCTTATGGCATTACCAGACCAAGAGGTGGAATGGAAAAGTGCAGACTTAAAATGGCCAAATTAGTCATGAAACTACATCTTCAAGAGATACAGATAGACACACACATATTTTTTTTTTTTTTTAAAAAATATATACACACGTGTATAATCCTGTCAAAACTTGCCTTTTTTCCTGATATTTATATGACAGATCTCTTTCCTTTCTGTAAGGACTAACACTCTGCATATATTACATACATCTGAATGTAACCAAGTTATACTGAGTATTTCATCAGACTTGACAGGTTTTTATTCTCACAGTTTTCATTATTTCAGAGTTAACCCTAGATTCTTACTTGAATAGTCCCTTAAACAAATCACGTCCGAAGATTTGTGATACTGTGTACTTGAACTTGTTACGTTCTTGAAATGTGTAGGTTAAAGGGTAACGTGCTTAAGCCTGTGTTGGTAGCATGCACGTTACGCTGCTTCAGAGAAAGTGTACGGCCTGTGGAGAAGGCTGCATTTGCTAACAGCTAGTGTGCTTGTTAGAAGGAAATGAACATGTGGATTTGCAGTCAACAGGTGTTGCACTAGAAGCAGATATTTAGGTGCGTTAGTTCTGTAGGTCTGAAAATGTGGTGTGCTGTCTATCCTATGCACCTTTTTAAAATTGACAATGAATTGGCCAGCAGTGAATAATGTAGATAATGCTACCTATCTTGGACCATATTTTCCTCGTTGTAAGAACATTGAAATAGCAGTTCCTTGCAATGGTAAAAGACCTTCAAGACAGAAAGTGCATGATGAAATACTGAGTATTGTTGTAATCACACAGAAGAAAAAATTAATGACATACGACTTGAAAAATGCAAGTAAACAATACGGGTATTTTATCTGTTACCTTCTTCCTTATTCTTAAGGGCCTAGGCTATTTTAAAAAATGTTTTTCCTTTTCAGTCAGATGGCTGATTGTCTGGATTAGGGGACATTAGATTTATTTTCAAACTCTGATGATAGGTCAGCATATTGCTGATCTCAAGATCCCCGGAACGTTTAGATGACATTTAATACAGTGTAGTCACATAACCTTAGCACCTGTATGTTTTTAAATGACATTTAGAAAACCATGTCAATTCTTTTAAGGTAAAATATAGTAAAAATATAATACTGTGTTTCTTAGGAAAAGTTCTTTTTGTCTTCTCTTTTATCAGCTTTAGAATGGTAGCTACAGGGGAGATCACCATATGAAAGCATTAAATGAAATAACATTGACATTTTTGATACTGAAAACCAGACACATCTGTGTTCTCTGTGAACATTTAAAGCAGAGTGAAAACACAACTATTAATATTTGCTTCGAACGTCATGCAAACTAATTAATATGTCAGGAGCATTTTTTTTACCTCTTCCTATCACAGATGAAACTTTCAGTGGTGCAAGTTTCTTTAGTAGATCTGTTAATAAGAGTGATATTGGAGAACCATAATTAAATGTGAGTAGCATTTAAAACATATATTCAAAGATAATCGTAGCCATTTCTTATCACTTACAATTTAGCTGACTTACAAGTGACTGCATATAATAGGAAATGCTGTCTCTTTTCAGTAAGTCCAACATATTTTATACCTTTAGTATTCAGTGTGCGTATTTCTAAAAAAAGAAGATGGCATATTTTAAAAATGTCACTGTGCATTTGTATTTGAAGGTCTCTGGGTAGTTTGTGACTATTTGAGGAAAGACTTTATTCAGCATCCTGACTTTGGTCAGATTCCTTTATGCTAGTGCACTCTTCTGTTGTATTAAATACAAGAAGTTTAGTGCACATGGAGATCAGCTGTATTAACTTGTTTTCCTAGGATTCTCTCCAAACTGTGATTAACCATACCTTTGTAGATTATTCAGTAGCTCTTTTACGTACTGAAGGATATGATTATGTTATTTTAAAATCTATTAGTAATACAACAGCTTTTGCAGTATGGCAGGCACTACAAAGAAGTTTGATGTTTTGTTTCCTTTCTATTCTTCTCCCCTCTTTTAAATCTGTTTTTATTCTTTCTTTTTCTCCCAATATAGTTGAGGAAAATAGGAGGCGGAGGATTTGGAGAAATTTACGATGCACTGGACTTGCTTACTCGGGAAAACGTTGCGCTGAAGGTCGAATCAGCTCAGCAGCCAAAGCAAGTGCTGAAAATGGAAGTAGCTGTGTTGAAGAAATTGCAAGGTAGGGCTGTACCCTGGATATGCCAGAAGTAGAATGTCAGTGTATCTTCTTAAAAAAAAAAATAAATCTCTATTTAGTCATAGTTTTTGAGTAAATATTCCCCATATTCTGCAGCTTATTGCTAAATGGCTATTAAAAGTCTTTCAGATTTGGGAAGTTTTGATACAGTGAACCTTTTCTTTGGAACAGGGTGATGTGAGAAACAGGATGACATGAAAGTAAAAATAACACCAAAAAATTAAATTGCTGCAAAACCTATGCTCAGCTGTGTAATTTATTCTGGATCCATATCTTCTTCTTACCTTTTTTTGCTCTAGATTTTGTTGTTGTTGTTAGCTTTTTATTTCCCCTTTTAAGGTGGTCTTTTTTTTCCCCTGTACTGTCTAGCATTGAGTATTTGCGGGTCCTTCACACAGCATCCAGGAAAAGGGTATTGGTATTTCTTTGCCTTTGCAAGTATTGCCAAGGATAATTCTAATGTCGAAATGGGAAACATATTTCCAAAAAAACCCACACAAACAAACAAAACCCCAACTTTAAAATACTGTAACCTGTAGAAAAAAAACCCTGTTGTCTCGTAGAGTCCTGAAATACTTTCTAGGGTTCAAGTCCTTGACCATTCAGAATCACAGCTTTGAATAGTTACTTTTGATGTACCTTTAGATACTTTAATGTCTGAAGCTATCAAGACAGAGAAATATGAAATGGCTTCTCTTCATTGCTTTTCACAACGTAAGATTATAAAAAGAAAGTTTAAAGGGTGACCTTTTTCTTTAAAAAAAAATGTCTTGAATCCGGAGGATTTTGACTAATACATCCATCCCTGTCAGCAGCCCAATTTTTCCAAACTCTTAGTTTGAATAAAACAAAATCTGCATGACATATGGTGCTGCCTAATTTGCTGTAAAGGTCACATTGCAGCAGAAATTGACAGCCTCTATAGATTTAAGAGGGCAAGCATGTCACATGTTATAGTGTTAACAAACTGTTCCTATGTTTATATCTTTTTAAAGAATTTCACAACAACATCTAGTATTATGTGGTCAAGCAAGGAGATTCAGGGACTGCATATTAGCTTTCTTTGACTTTTAGAGTTTCTAGTCCGGAGATGAATAGTAAATTTCAGTATTACCAATCGTAAATTTAGAAACCATTTGTCAGGGCTCTTTAAAGAAATTATCTTAAAGATAATGAGTTTTGAAGAAAATAATACTCTATAACTCCTGGGTTTTTAAATGCTCAGAATTAATTTTTCAAGGTTTTTTTTATGCACATGAGCTTGATTCTATTTTTAACAAAAACCAGAGTCTTTAAAATGGTATAGCTGAAGCAGCTAAAGTAATAAGGAAAATATTAATAACTGAAATAAAACACTGGAATTTGGTAGCACTACAATGCCAATGTATTTGTAAAAAAATAGCCTTATGTACTGTATAACTGGAGTGCCTTATAACTTTCTACTGTGAATTTAAGTGTAGTGAAGTTTCAGTTAAGATGTTACAAAAGTGTTTTTTTCTTAGTAAAAACTTCTTTAGCTTTTGAAATTTTTTTGAAAGCCAAAAATGTTTGCTGAAATAATAAAAAATTGATTTGTGAATAATTGCCATAGGGCCTTTCAGAAGTTACAATATTCTTATCAGTCATCTTTTGGGAGTCTAATTCTTTTAACAACGCAAGTCTTCCTGGAGAAGAGCCTCTGGTTCTACTGAATCATGGGAAGTGCTGTCTGGATGAAAAGATCAGAATGATGGAACACCTGAACAACAGATCCACTGAGGCAAATAAAATATAATCTAAATAAAGATCTTTCAGTTATTTATTTTCTCAATGTTATTTCTCTGAGAAACAACAAATAGGTTTTATATAACTGAAACCCTGATTTTGTATGAGATCTTTTGACAACCTTCCTTATGAGAAGATAATCTAAATATTATTCCTTAGTTTTAATCTCTTATTCTCTTGCACAGTTTAAAATAAAAAAAAAAAAAAGAAGTCGTGATTCCATGGTTGTAACACTAGAGGTGATCTTTAGTCATTGTTATGCAAGTTCCACGTTACAGTGTAACTGCTCTGGTTTTAGATGGGGAATGCTGTAGATGATCAGGAAAGTGACTACAATTAGAGATGGGTCAAGGGTGAACTTTTTGCATGTATTGATATTTATAGTTTGCACAGATATGCATATATTTTTATCCACACACAAAGGATTTTTATTAAATAAGATTATGGTAGAGACCATTTTATGTTTTACATGAAATCTTGGCTCCTAGGAGCCATTTCCATTATTTTTTCTATCTTCCCAAGTTGTCAGTATGCAAGAGTTAAAAATTTGAAGCAGACAGAAAATCAAGAAAAATGGACAAAAATGGGGAGTAGAAAACAACTTTATCATTGCTTCTTGAAGAATTTTTTTATTAAATGCTTCATTTACCATGTAGAAATTTTTCTCATTTTTGACAAGTTCTTTTTCATGCAGATTCAGAGCAGGTGAAATTGTAAACAGTTCTTTTAGGATATTTTTGTAACAACCTTCTGATAGCATACATCCTCTGAGACCAACTTTTATCTTGTTCTTCTATCCCTTTTTGGCATATGTATATATATGTGTATGTATATAATTACTATCCTTTTCTCAAAGGGCTTATGTTCTCTTACTTTCAAGGTGTTCTAGTTACCTTGGACATAAATCAGAGGAAGGAATGTAATAGTCATTAAAATCCATTTTCTTGCAAATATTTGGAAAGTTTGATCTATGAATAGTATGTAATGAGAGGCAGCGAGCTGACAGTGTCATTCAGAATTCTCTTGATGTGTGGATCTGATTTTTTTAACAAAAATATATTATCAGGTACAATTTCTGGGAAAATTATGAGGAAACAGGCTTTTAGGAAAGAATTAAGTAAACAGGTGTAATATGCCTCAGTCCAGCAAAACAGCTTTTCCAGTCTTTATTAGAACTAGGCATATTCTCAAGGTTATAAACCTACTTTTGAGTGTTTCTGAATTAGAATCTTATTTCACAGAAACTGTGAAGCTGAAATGAGAATAGCTGTTGGCAGAAGTGCAGGGATGTACTATTTTTTTTATTATTTTTGCTTTCAGAAATTTTGAAAATTAAAACGTGGTCATTCATTGCGGGGGTGAAATGAGTCATAACTTTGTAGGTATGCAGTACAGTGAATAAGAAAAACATAAGAAGCTCTTTTAAGACCTTGATCTAGCAAAACATGCTTAAATATGTGAGTAGTTGTATGACTTCTCTCTTAATTATGAAGGAGGAGTATGTTCACTGATATGGCCATTTATGAAAGCTTAGTCATCAATTGCATCTTTGATTTTTTTTTTTTTTCCCCCTGCCAATGATGCTGTCTCCTAATTATTATTGTCAGAATGCTGTTTAACTCTTTGAGCTCTGTTTTTGGTTGTTTTTTTTTCTTTTGAAAAAGAAATCTGCTGCAACAGATGGTTGTTTTGTTTAATCATGTTGTTAGGCCATCTGTTCCCACAGTCAGATGGGAGAAGACAGATTTATCACATCTCACTCAGTGAGAGTGAGACTCACTCAGTTGGTTTCTGTCTCACACAACCTTAACAGACTTCTCCCTCACTCATTTACAGCTCTCTAGCATAATTTAGTGATGGGTTGCATCTGGTGTACGCAGAAAAGCTAGATGTAGTGATATACAGCAGCCTGGGTGATGGCTTCGTATGCTCACCAGGAAGCTTTTCAAGGGCACAGTTGTTCACTGCAGCCTATTACCATCATCTTCTCCCCCTGCTCCCCAGCCACGTGGCTCACAGGTGTGAGGAAATACTGTTTTCTCACTGAGGAAAAAGGAACTGAAGGTATCTGCAAAGGTGTAGTAGGTGCGTGTAGGTGTGTATACACTGGAGTGGCAGAGGATCATGCTATTTGAATAAGGTGTGTAGGCCCAACTTCCGTCCTTCTCGTTTCCTCCGATTTTTATAAAAGTTAATTTCCAGAGAATTTACCACACAATTGGAGTTGCTGCTCCAGTTTAAATGGGGTTTCTCTGACCAAACTGAGTTTTGGACATTTACTGAATTCGTGAGATGAAATCTGACTATATATGCTTCTCTGAAGATGTTCCTTCAGCATACTCACAGTGGCTGTAAAATGAATCATAAATATTTGAGATGAGACTTCATTAACTGGAAACTTCAGCAATGAATATTCAAAATTTCATCTTGACAAATTTCCTGCAAATCCTTTTTCTTCATAAAATTATACTGTCTGTAATATTGCCTGTCTTAAGTGGGTGGAAGGAAAAAGTGGAGCAAAAGCAGAGATACTTACAGTTTAATGTTTATGCATTTTCAGAAGTTGTAGAGATTTCTTTTAAAATAATTCTTTTAAAATGAATTATTTTGATTAATCCTGTACCATCTTCTTTGTTTAAATGGGCCTATCTGATTTAATTGTATGTGGCGGGGAAATTCCTGAGAAAGTAATAAATGGGAAACCACTCTTCTATCAGGTGAAGTGAGAATATTCAGAAGCTGTAGGGCCAAGTTTTAGGGTTTTGATGGAGCTTTGAGTACAGCAGTAACAAAAAGTCCCCCCATATCTGTAGCTAGCAGTAATGGTGTTTTGAAAGCAGTAACAGGTTTTTGTATTTTTTAATTGCTTTTCTCCTATCACTTCTTTTTTTCTGTTGACATTCTGGTAGTCCTAAGGGTAAAGAAATTCATGAAAGAAACCTTAGGTGACACAAATTTTACACAGCTTTAGCAGCTGCTTGTGACCATCAGCTTTCTCTTGGCTGTAGCTTCCATGGTGTCAGAAAGGAAGGTAAATGGCCTGAGGGATGGACACCCTACAGTTCCCTCTTCTGTTGTAGAGTGGGGTCATAAGGGGGCCCAGCTTCTCTCCAAGTCAATGAAAACAGATACCAAAATGACAGGAAGGTTGCATTCTCCTTCTGTTTCCGTACTGCAGACTTTGGCTTGCCTTTTTCCTCTGTTCAGCTTGAGAATCTTATGCTTTGACTTAAACTGCAGGATAGCATGGAGATTATTTTTGACCAGCCCTCTTCTCCTCCACAGTTTGTTCCTAGGACAGGAGGACGCTTTCTTTAAAGAAAATTGGCTTAAACCAAGCTGTGATTTTTTTTTAACTACTACAATACTTTTATCTCTGCTTTAGTGTACCTGAACTGAATTAATCTTTTGTAGCTAAACAGCAAAAATCATATTCTAGAAAAAGATATTCATAAATCGGATTAGTTGAATTACATCTTCTACAATTTTTAATACAAAACATGACCCACAGGTAACTACTACTGTTTTCTTTCATGGTGGCAGCTGCAGCTTATAGAAAAAGAGGAATGGTGGCTAGGAATATTGTCTGTAACAAGCCACCAGCTTTGCAAGAAAATAACCTTTTCCCAATCCAAAGTGCTTCAAATTTGTGGACATTTAGGCATGTTGCCATGCATGTTTTCTTATGGAAGATTGATAGCTGTGGCAGGGTTGCATATTTCATGGGGAGAAACCTTTTATTCAACTGGGAGTAGAACTAACATTGGTTTTACAGCTGTTGAACTGTGGGGGGCTTAGTTTATTAAAGATCTCTAAAGAAATACAACTATCTTTTCCAGTAATATGCTAGGTATTTAAAGGAATAAACCACAGAATTTCATTATTATTGGCTAATTTGCTTCTTTTTCTCTCAGGAAAAGATCATGTCTGTAGATTCATTGGATGTGGAAGGAATGACAGATTTAACTATGTGGTCATGCAGTTGCAGGTCAGTGTATCAAACAGAGCTCAAAGCTTGCTTGTGTCTTATGATTACTAGTGAAGCATATAAGAAAATACCAGTAAAATTTTAGAGGATGACAAATTAAAAAAAAAAACAACCCAAAGATCATGAACGCATAGTAGTGAGCAAACCTAAATTGAGCATGTCCTTATATTTTATCCTTCGAGATCCTTTCCATGATTCTTTCAGAAAGGAGGAAGTCTGCATCCTCAGAAGGAACTGACTATTGAAAGAGTGAACTGTAAGGTCTTCTGAGATAATTCACATTCCTTTGAAGTCTTCACTTGAAGATAGTCTAAAATATATGAGTCTGTGCATTTTGTTGGCTTTTTTGATGAAAGTGAAAAAATGCCCTTTGCAAGTAAAACGAAACACTTAATTCACTTTACTGAGAGACTTGTTCCTGTGAAAAGGAATAAAATGGGTGATTAGCACTTAAAGTTATGAGATTATTGTGCTTCATCATCTTGGTGAATAGAAATATGGGAAAAAGAAGTGTGCTGTAGTTCCAATTCAAGAAAGATGAGGAACTCCTAGAGAGAGTTCAGATTTGAGCAACAAAGCTGATTAGGGGACTGGAGCATCTCCCCTATGAGGAAAGGCTGAGAGAGCTGGGCTTGTTCAGCCTGAAGAAGAGAAGACTGAGAGGGGATCTCGTCAACACATACTAATATATCAAGGGTGGATGTCATGAGCCAGACTCTTCTCAGTGGTGCCCAGCAACAGGACAAGGGGCAATGGGCACAAACTGAAACATAAGAGGTTTCAGTTGAATATGAGGAAGAACTTCTTCACTTTGAGGGTGACAGAGCACTGGGACAGGCTGCCCAGGGGGGTTGTGGAGTCATCTTCTCTGGAGATATTCAAAGCCCGCCTGGATGATGTCCTGTGCAACCTGCTCTAGGTGAACCTGCTTTAGCAGGAGGGTTATACTAGATGGTCTCCTGAGGTCCTTTCCAACCCTTGCCATTCTGTGATTCATACTGTTGGTCATCTGTTATTTTGACAGACCAACAGTTCTGTGATGTCATGGGGATGCATTTCCTGCGTAGTATATTTTTCATCTGTTTGGTTAAGTCATCTAAGATATACTGTATAATAAAATAGATTACATACTTTTCCTTAAAGAGGTGCGTGTAAAGAAGTCTTTGTGAGCATATTATTGGTGGCCTTTTTTCATGTTTGATACAGATACAACATTAACTAATAGTGTATGTACAAGTCTTCTAATACAGATTAGTTTGGTCCATGTTTGTTAGGAGTAGAAAAACGCTAAGATTCATATTTTCAAAAATAGATTCTAAATTTAATGTTGGAGATAGGGACATATACTTGTTACACTTAGGTGAGATGTGTTACCCTTGAATATGAAGATAGGTAATGAGAGTATTCTGTGGTTAACCTTGAACAGCTAAAGAAGAAGTCGGAAGACTTTATGCTATCTGTGAATCTTGGTATTAGTATTGTTTTATGAAAACATCCTTTTAATTTGATCAGGGTCGGAACTTGGCAGACCTGCGTCGGAGTCAGTCTCGAGGAACGTTCACCATTAGTACCACTCTGCGGCTTGGGAAGCAGATTTTGGAATCTATTGAAAGTATTCATTCTGTGGGATTCCTGCACAGGGATATAAAACCGGTAAGTCTGCCCATCAACTCAAAACAGGCAAGTAATATGTGGTCATTAGATAGCTTCATAAATAAGAATAGGTTCTATACTAGATGTTAAAATGAAAAAATAAGAAGGGACATATTCATCAGATAAGGCAGATTTTTTCCATTAATTAATGTTGGATTGCAACAACAGTAACTTTGGTCTTTGTCATCATTACCTCCGGTTACTTAGGCTTCCTTGCAATTTTCTGTAGTTAAACTTCCAACTCTTAGCTGTATCATCAATTAAGAGTATTTGTGATGAGATATGATATAATGAGTTTGGCTAATAGCAATTAATATCTTCACATAATACATCTAAGAGAATATATACTAACTGTAGGGTGTATTTATAAGATCTTCAATAGCATATTTTTTTATTTAATGTATTTATAACAAACAAGGAAAGAAAAGACAGACTGTAAGAGAAAGCTATTCAATTGCTTTAGTGTGCAATTCTAGTAAAATTAGCATTGTCAAAATGTCATGAGGACAGTGACTTCCTGATAGCACCACACTTCTGTTGTTATTATTTTTTCTGTTTTTCTTTGAATTTTTTCCTGAAATTGCATTGGCTATTTCTAATATTGCTATATATTAAAAATATCATTAGAACTCTAAACTTTCAAAATTTGTAAATGAGAAAAAAAAAGCAAATCTTGTGTTTTCCAATAGATGCAATTATGGCTGGTTATGTCTGGCATATACAGCTAAATTTCCTGTCAGCTGAATGATGTTTACATAAAACCTCTGATAAGTTTCTGGGCATTAGGGAATTTTCATTTTCATCACTTCTTCCTTGCAAGTTTTTATAAAACTTGTATTCTCCCTGACCCATCCCCAAGACTTCATTTAAAAGGGAAAGGACACAGAGGCAGTGAATGTCAAGTGAAATAGGTGAGAAGGAGTTAGCTGGAGCGCAAGATTTTAATGCTGAAAACAATTCCAAGTTTTGAATGGGAAATGTGTTCCTTTGTGGCTGGCAGAATGCATTGGGGACATCTTGTTATCTAGCTGTATTTTGGAGTCTGTGGGCTCAAATAGGATGGAAATGCAGAAGGCTGTTAGGGGATGGAAAAAACCCAGAAAATTAAATGTTGAGCCAGGATAAACAGCAGTGTGAGGCAATACATTAGATGCATAAACGAAAGAATTTTTCTTCCCCTGTAGGAGTTATGTTGTGACTTAGCATGCAAAAGGAGGCATGATTGCTTTCTAGTATGCAGTTTTCCTGGCTTGAAAATGCAAGTCCATTTTATCTTTTATTATGTATCTTCTAGATAGATTATACTAAAAGCAAGCTTTGTGCTGAAATCTTGAAATCCTTGGTTGGTTATTTGCCTCGTGATGAATTAGGCAATGCTGAAATTCCATTCCATTTAAAAATAACATTGATCACACTCATTTCAATTCATGGTTTCGATTGGTTTTTACACTCAACCTTTGACATTGAAGGAGCTGTGAATTTCAGATTTATTTAGAACAGTACTGCTGTTTCAATTAATGGAAAAAGAAAAGTAGTTTTTCTAGAGTTAATTGCATTGCTTCCAGCTTGCTCAGATGTGTAGTTTTAATTCCATTTCACAGAACTTGTTTTTAGCTTTATCTTTCCTTATATCATGTAATCCATTTTAATGGGATTTGGTGGGGAGAGACTTGAACCAATTCAGCCAACATGTTCAAACACCAAAAACTAGCAGTGTTGAAAAATTTTTTTAAAGGGTTAATATGGAATGTTAATCCGTAGAGGCGAATAAGAAAATTTACTGAAGCTTTTCAGAATGAATTACCTCCCTAAGTCCTCACGGACTTTCCATCTCTTGCTGTTTGCTTGGGTTTTTTTTGTTTTTTTGTTTAATTTTTTGGTTTTTTTAAACCTAGTTCTTCCCCCTCTATGAAAAGGAAAAGGTGGTTTGCACCCCTTATTCTGTATTCTGAGTATATGGTATTAGTGCATGTGTTTAGATGAACTTGTTAGCCCCTAGGTTGGTAGTTTTTTGAAATGTCCAAATCAAAATATGTGAATGGGTGACATGAATAGAAAATTCTTGCTAAGTATTAATATATTCTAAGTGATGAAGTAAGATGACAATCTCTTTGGACCATGTAGGCTGCTGTTCAGTTATGCTAAATTGCATGTCTGATTTTCTTAACGTTTTCTTCAAATTTAATGGGAGTTTAGTAAAACTGAAAATATGGAATGAAAGATAGAGAAGCAGAATGTGGATTTTCTATGACTGTGTTACTACATTAATACATGCATGTACCGAAATGTGTATGCTCCTGCATCTATATCTATATATCTATATATCTATATATCTGTATTTGTTTTTCTTCCTAGTCTAACTTCGCAATGGGACGTTTTCCTAGCACGTGTAGGAAGTGTTATATGCTGGATTTTGGCTTGGCACGGCAATTTACCAACTCATGTGGGGATGTCAGACCAGTAAGATTTTTTCATAGTTGTCAATTTGATTAATTGAACGTGGTAATACGCTTACTTTTTTTTTCTGGAGAAGTATGGGAGTTGCAGTGAACTGGTAACTGATCTAAACTTGATGAACATCATCCCAGATCAGAAATGCCACGTGATGTATATTAAAAGATTGGCAGTTGGGAATGAATCAGGTTTCTGATTTTTGACTTGAGGCAGAGTGTAGTCTATGATTTTTTTTGTGGATAGTCTATCTTTTGGTTTGGAAAATCAAGCAACAAATAGGTTTTCATTAAATATCAGAATAATACACCAGAGCTGAATTTCACTTGGTATTATATATTGCATTAAAAAAAAAAAATCTATGTAGGAGAAAACAGTGGAACACTAAACTGCATATATAATCTTCTGAAAGAGAAAGTCTGAATAGTTAAAACAGAGATAGGACACTAATTATAATATATAGCAGGACATAGTTAAGTGTAGTTGCTGTATTCCCATGCGATGCAGTCTGAAGAAAATTGTAGATAAAAGTGTATGAATGAGGACGTTGCAACTTTAAGTACAGTTGAGCCTCCCTAATTCACTGGCAGGCAGTGTTTTTGTTAATTTCAGAGTTTGAAAATGAGCAAGTCAGTGCCATGGTACACTGTGATGTTTTAAAAAAATGTATTTCTGCATTAAACTAGTTTAGTTTACATTTTGTTGGCAATGCTGAATGATGTACTAGTCAATATTGTGTAGAATATTTGTTAATGTGATGTGATTTGAGTGATAGACACCATCTCTACAGGATTTTCAATTTTATTTTGCCTAAGAAGTTGGGAAAGTGGCAAGTTTTTGTGTGCAAATTATGAGGTATGTGAATTAGTAAGGTAAATTTGCAGGGTTCTGCTGTACTCTATTCCTTCAGCCATAATGCTGGACACTGCAATGAAAGCAAAGAGCAGGGGAGACCAACAGAGTGGCTGCTGCTGTTGGAAAGGTGAGCTAAACATTTTAAGTAGTTTTTAAATTTGTTTTTATTTCTCAGTGTTCTTGTCATGTTCTTTATGTTTGGCTGCTTATAATGTTTTTCTAACTGACCTGCAATTTTGAAGAGAAAACAATTCCCAAGACTCTGTAATTTTTCTCTATATACACACCAATAGTAGTATTTTCAGAAAAAAATAGGTGATAACAACAGAAATATTAATATTTCTGCTATTCTTTCTTTTGTAACAACTTGGCTCTTGCCTTTTTGTTTTTCATTGCAGTGCCCTACAATGTAACTGAAGTAATTTTTCAATGTAATCTGTTTAGAATTTTATGACAATGTAATCCATATTAGTAGAGTGGCAGTGAGGAGAAAAAAGGTAGTAGTTTTATTTGTACTTAGTCAGAAATAGCTCTTGTGTAGGTAGCAACCATACTGTTGGCCTTGCTTACTGCTAAAATTTATTAATATTTTCATTAAATATGCTATGTGCTTCTCCTTAAGGCTATCCTTCTTCTAAACTTCATTAGATTTCTTCAGCAGATACTGCAAATAACCTGTAAAAGCATGTTCTCCAAAAAACATAGTACTCTGTTGGTAAGAACCTGTTCCTTAGTTAAGGTTGATTATTAGATTTTTATGATAAGCCTGGTTTTCTGTATACCTGACTTCTGCAGAAAGAATCCAGTCCCTTTGAAATTTTACATATCATCCCCGAGTCCCTGAATTTCCACAGTGTGTTCTAAAAGAAACAGAAGGGAAGTTTTGGAAATCACAGTATCAGGTTTTAGTCCTTTGGCAGCTTTGTATTTCCCCCAACATTAAGGAATTCTGGTAGCCATACATCTGTTTGTTCAACTCAAGAAGATGGAATAGGCTTCTATGGACACTGTTGAAAGCAGAAAAGTTTATGACAGGACTGTATTTCCTTCCAGAAATTATTGGCCAGCACCACTGGCTAGCATATACATTCTAACAGGTGGAAATAAAAAATTGAGTTAGCTTCAAGACAGGTAGAGAAAAAAGGTGTTGTGTAGTTCTTTGACAAAATGCAATTTAGACTGGCAAGGGGGTTGAAACTAAAAGGCAATTACAAGAATAAATTATCATCAGTTTTGTAGTCTAAATCTTGTTAGTATAGGTAGTATTCACTTGACTAAAGTTCAAACAAGAAGTTGAAAAGAGGTCCTTATGGCAAGGAATACTGCTTTATTTTGTGAAATCAGGTCAAGAAGCAAGGAGGAAATGAGAAACTTATCAAACCATTAAGCTACCCAATAGTAAAGTCCCTAGTTAATTGCAGTACAGTGTACTGGCAGAGGAATGCAGCAGAGCTTCATACTACTTCGGTCTGGTAAGGTGTTCTTGTTTAAGATCTGTTATAAGAAGAGGAATTAGAAAACTTGGGAATCCGTGATTTTATTCCCATATTTGACTGAAGTATGTGCTGGTAGCTACTGTTGTGTTCAACCATCCATTTGGACCGTTCTGCATTTCTGTTAAGCCTGTGCTTATTCTAGTCTGAATCTTTTCTTTGGTTTCTCCTCTCTGGTTTCCTCTTTACTTCCACCTCCTCATATTGCTTCCACTTAGATTAATTTCTCTTCTCCTTGCAGTTTTAGTGCCCACTGGAATAGTACAATGCAACTAAGTGAAATTTTCTTTTCGCTCTGTTTCTTTTCTTTGCACCATAATGAAACCTGAAAACATTCTGAAGGAGTGAGAGAAAAGAAATTCAGGCTGTGGCAGCTCTGGATTGAATTATGCCTCACGACAGATAGAACATTCGAAGAATTTAGATGCCTGATTCAAACAAGGCTGTATTGAGTTTGTGTGAAATTCAGTTTTCCAAAAGTGCAGGCCTAACCAGTTTTGGATGGCTAATAGAATATTGCTTGACATCATCATGGTACACTCTCAAATCCCTCCTTGTCTGTCTTCATTCTAAGGCACACTGGGGATATAGGCTTCCTACAAATTAGTATGGGGGTTAATAAACAAAACAAACTTTTGTTTCAGCTGCATTCAATAAGAGTTTGGAATGATTTGCTGAATTAAAAGCAAGCAGCTACAAAAAGATTCCTCTAACATGAAGAATTTCAGCTTAAACTGGTAATACTCAGAAAGTTTCAAGCGTCTGAATGCAGGATCTTATATGGAAAATAGTGGCCAATGTTTAAGTATAGGTTTTACTACGGGTGCCATTCGGGATATGTTGGCAGTGAAGTTCACAAACAGGCAGCAGTGCTAATGAGTCTGGAGAAATTTTGATGAAGTTCCAGCAATATTCCAGTGGAAAATGCTTCTGCTTTAAAGTAGAAATGAAGATTATGAGAACTTCAATATTTTTGGTACTATCTATAGTAATTACTTTTTTGTTTCACATTGTTATTACGGTAGTTACCAAACATACCTGTTTTCATAACAGAAAATGCGTTGGTGACACAGACACTTCCCTAGCATGCACTTGGTTCTCCTTCATCTTTTCTATGGTGTATGGACCCGTTCTGAACATCAGTTTCTTCATGTGCACTTACCTGTCTATAATACTCCAAATCATAGCCTATGGAACTAAGTCTCCCATTCATCATATTAATTTAATTGCAGGGTTTTAATGAGTTATCATAGACTCTTTTGGGGTAAATTTTACAGTAGCATTGGATCTATTTGTGTTCACTACAGTCTGTTTCCTCCTCATGCTTTTCTACCTTCCCAAAATGGCTGTAGAATTAAGTTAAAAGCAGCTCTGTCTTTCATGATAAATTAAATTATTCTATAAAGTAAATAGATGTTATTAAAGCAAAAATTGCTCCCAGGGTTTTTGTGCACTATAGGCGAGCAATGCTTGTGTTTAAGCACTGCTTATCTCACTTCAACTTGAGTGTAATCTGTCTTTCTCCTTTGTGGGAGCACCAATTTTTGAATTCTCATTTGATTGTTGTTTATTGCTAGAGGGAAGATTTAAAATGGGACATTTGACACATTATCTAACTAAGAATGTATTTTAATTTATGGTTTACTGTGAAAGGCTTATCTAACTGTTTTGTTTCTTCTGCTGTTGTTTACCATAAGTAATGTTTATTACAAATTTCACAACAAATAAAGCTACTCTGGTTCAGTCTGCCTTGAAGTATATAGTAGCTCATATATTAGTAAGTTGAAATTATTTTATTTGTTAAATAATACGTATTAGTTAAACTATCTAGGTATTATAATCAAGCTTGTGAAGAAAATTGCATAGGTAGATTAGTCTACAACTGAAAGAAAACGTTTAGCTTGTCTTTACTGAGAGATGTTAGCATCCAGAATTTTAAAATTTCTGTAATTATGCCATCAGAACTCACTTACAGCTTCTCCCATGCTCATGTGATAACAACTTACTGTCTATTGACATCTTTTCCTGTGCTGTTTTTTCTTCTCAATGTTACTAGCTTTCATCTTCTGTGATTCCTGTCAGCTTTCTCTCCTTTTCTCAGTTTTCTCCATTTTCCATTAATACAAGTCTTAAACCTGCATCCACATAGTTTCTGTCTCTTTATCTTTAGTGACAGTCTTCCTTTATCTGACTTTCCTCTGACTCCAGCTTCTTTCACAATTTAGTTTCAAGTCTTCTTTCTTCAGCGTATCCTTCTCCCCTTTATCTTCCGATAGCCTCATTCATAAACACATTTTTTTATCTCTAGGCACATGATTCATGTTCATGATGTCCCTGTTCCATTACTGCTTCCTTCTGTTCAAACTAAAACTGTGTCATCTGTCTCTAGTATCTTTGTGAATATCTTACAATGAACTCAAACTCAATATGCTCTTAGTCTCCTTTCTCCTGTGCCCAGCCACTTGGCGTTACTTCTGTTCCTCATCACTGCATGTGATACCATCTTCCTGTCACCAAGGCTTACTGGCAGTCTTGACTTTGTATGTCTTTACATCCAGTCTGTGTATATATCCTGACAGTGTTTTTTGTAAATATGTGCATACGTTCATATGCGTATGTATTCTTTTTTTTCTTTTTTTTTTTTTTTTCATTCACAAACCT